CATGGCGGTCTCTCTTGTTTATGGATTCACTCAGACAGGTTAGTTTCCTCATTCACCAAACAGTCACAATCCCCCTGATGGGCAGCAGGTCCTTTGATAGGCATTGGGGCCGCAACAGCCCTGCATCCACTCCCAGGGGCCCCTCAGGAAAGCCTCATGGGAGCCCACATAAGAAGTCAGAGCAGAAGGCCCAGGAAGGGAGAGCAACGAAAAGGGTAGGGAAGGGGGATCGAGGCAGGGAAAGGGACCCCAAAGGGACAAAGCCAGACAGTGAGGGTTGTGAGGGAGAATCCCAGGCAGAGAGGCTTGCTGGAAGAAGTGGCAGGAGCTGAGCGGGAAGATCTACAGGAGAGGACCCAAAGTCATGGGCGGTGACTGAACGAATGTTCCTGGCAGAAGCCAGGGCCTGAGAGAGTGGTCAATTGAGAGCATGTGGCAAAGCCAAGGAGAGGTCCAGGGTCTACAGGGCAGTGACGAGGGACTAAGACTTTGAGGGGCTGGGGATTTAGCTCAGCGGCATAAGCGCCGGCCTTGAAAGCAGGCAGTCGTGAGTTCAATCCCTGGTACCGATAAAAACGAAAAAGCCAAAAAAAAAAAAAAAAAAAAAGACTTTGTACTGAGGGCCTTGAGTAGCTGTGGGAGGGACAGTGCAGGCACACGAGCCAGGCGAGGGGAGGAGAATCTGCTCCCCGCTCGAGGCCAAACTGAAAAGGGAGGCTGGGACTCACTGTCCTTTCTGTGTCACAGACAGCAGAGGTCCTTGCTGGTTCTCTGTATTTTATTTTATTTTTGTCTTTTTGTGCCACCATGCTGGGTTTCTCAGTTTTAAAGAAAGGCATTTAGTGGGTTTTATGTTTTGGCTTTGTTTTGTTTTGCCCATAAGTATGGTGTTAGACAAGTGTGGTGGCACACAGCTATCCTCCCAACACTGGAGAGGCTGATGCAGGAGGATCACGGAGAGTTCGTGGCCAGTCCGGGATCTACAGAGAGACCGTGTCTCAAACAGAAACAGCTGAGTGTGGTGGTGTACACCTGTGATGCTAGCACTGGGGAAGTTGAAGCAGGAGGATGATTGCAAATTCAAGACCAGTCTTGGCTACAAAGTGAGTTCAAGTCCAGCCTGAACTGCATAACGAGACCCTGTCTAAATAGAGAAAAAAGACAGACCGACAGACGGACGGAGAGATGGGCAGACAGACAGACAGAAAGATGTTAAAACCTAGCATAGTGGTACTTGTCTGTAATTCAGGAAGGTGAAGCAGGAGGATTGCTTGAGTCCAGGAGTCTAATGCCAACCTGGGTGATATAAAGGGACTGTGTCTCAAAAACTAAATAAAATAAAATAAAATGCCTGCTGTATGTTTTCTTGCAGATACTTTTAACCAGGTTAGGGAAGCTGGTTTGCTCTCCGTTTGGTTGTTTGTTTGTTTGTTTATCATGACTGTCATGTCTCAGGTTCTCTCTGTCCTCTGTCTCATCCTGTTTTTTCTCCCTCTCTCTGCCTTGTTTTCCCTCACCCAAAGGGGTGTGGCCACAGGAAGCTGAGTTTAGGAGGTGGCACAGTGTCCTGGTTCCGGCCAAGGCCACCTCAGTAAACACAGGACATCCTGCGGGGCTCAGGAAGGAGGTGGAATCACCCTTGGGCCACCCTCTCCAGACCTAGACTGGGCCAGCAGCAGCTTCTCCAAGCCCTGCGCACTGCCTAACCCCAAGCAGCGCAGCCCAGGGAAACAGGTCTTGCTGGCCACAGCCTCGTGCCCAATCCTGTGCCCTGACTCTCTCTGCTGAGCTCCAGTCTCAGGGCCTAGCAGCTCTGAGATGCCTCCTCCACAGTCCCTTGTACCCGATGTGTTCTTTCTTGGTCTTAGCCTCAATCTCAGACCTGCTGCCTCCGCTGGCCACCAGCCCAGGGTTGGCCACACTGTCCCCTGCCTGGCTGCAGCCCAGCCTCCTCCTCCACCCTCCTTCACCATGGCTCCTGGGGCTCTGTGGCAGGCACCACCCTTGCTCCCCAGGCAGCTGTCCTGTGCAGAGTCCTCCAGGGGTCCTTTGGGGAGGAAGGTCTCCCTGACAGCCAGAGCGGCTGTGACCTGTAGTCTTCCACCACTTTTCCTCCCTCCCTGCTTTCCTTCCTTTCCTTACTCACCCCTGTCCAGGGCCTCTTCAGTGTTCCTTCCCTACTCCTCCCTTCCCAGGTCCTCACCGCTGGGCTCCAGGGCGCTGGGCTCCAGGGCATGCTCTCCCCCGTGGCAGCTGGAGGGATGCCCTTACCTCACATCTCCCTAGATTCTTTGCACTGAAGACCCCATTCAGGGCCTTGCATCCCCTGCCCCCTAGTGACCTCTCCAGTCCCATTACCTTACTACTTTCTCTCTCTTTCCAGCCAAGCCTAGTGGCCCAGAGACCCCTGAAAACATTGTAGGGCCCTTGTGCATGCTGGTTCCCTTCCCCCTTCCTAGAACAACAGCCCTTCAAAGTGAACACTGCTACTGTTCCACTTTACAAATAGGGATTTCGAGGTCCAGAGAAGTTAATTAAGCACCTTGCCACGAGTCACACAACTCTGGAGTGGTAAAACTAGGGTATAAACTTTGCCAGTCTGGCTTTCAAGCACAATCTCTTCTCATTGAAGAATAACAGCTCATTGCTTCAACAGCATCTCTGAGCATCATCGTGTTTCTGCAACATACTTTCCCTGAGGCCTGCTCCCTCTCCCCAGGTTGTGTTCATCACACAGACTCCGAATTTAAGAGGGATGTGCCAGGTGCCATGCATTTGCACATGTGTGTGACACTTTCCCTGCAGGTGAAGGTCAAGTACTTGAGGAAAGGGCCTGTGTTTTGCACCAAAGTACCATGTGGGCGGGGCTGGGGGGTTTAGCTCAGCGGCATAAGCACCTGCCTTACAAGCAGGCGGTCGTGAGTTCGATCCCCGGTACCGATAAAAAGACAAAAAAAAAAAAAAAAAAAAAAAAGTACCATGTGGGCTCCACTGGCCTTGGCGAACAATCTGCTTGTGCTAGAGAAGCCAGTGTTCCCAAGTCCAACCCCAGGATTGTGCAGACTTTGGTGTCCGCTCCACCCCAGGAGGCCACGCCCCCTCAGCCAGCAGATTCCAGGGCCCACACATTCCAAGCTCTGGCTCTGCTGCTCAGGAAGCTCACAGAACCTTTGTGTCTTCCAGCTGTGACACCTCTCAGGCCAGCTCCCCTCCACCAGCACTCACAGGACCCTAACCACCAACACACTTTTCTTGCCCCTGACTCCTGGGAGAGCTGTGACCTGCTGCCCTCAGCTACCTTTACCACCCTGTGCCCATATTTATTTATTTAGGTAGTACTGAGGAGTGAATGTAGGGTTTTTGTACTGCCCTACTGCTCCAGTCCTTTTTGTTTTTTATTTTCACACAGTAGCTTTCTAAATTGCTACATTGTTCAAACTGGGCTTGAAATCGCGATCCCCCTGCCTCAGGCTCCCAGAGTGCTGGGATTACAGACCTGTGACAGCCTCAAAGCCCGGCTCCTCTTCGTTCCCAATTAGAGTACTTTTGGTGCCTGATCCGAAGTGAAAGGTTATATGACCAGGATTCATTCATAGTAGATGTCTGCATCTTCAGGTTTTACAGATTACTCCAGGGGCCCCTCGAGACATCAGAAACAGGCCCCAAACACTCGGTAACAGATGACCGCTGACCCCTGCCCGCAGGTTTGATGCCAGGCGGAGACCTCAGAGCCCCAAACTGGACAGCAGGGGGCGCTGCGGAGCTCCGCCCAGACTCCGGAGGTCTCCGTCCGGAATCAGAAGCCCGGGTCGCGAAGTCCATGGATGGGAGTCGCCAGGGGCTGGCATCCGGTGCCTAGAAGGCTCTCAGCCCAGTCACTAGCTCCCCGCAGCCTTTTCCACCCGCCGCCCCGGCGCCCTCAGCCACTTCCAGAAATGGGCACCACTTCCTCCGCGGCTCCAGGAAGCTCGCTCTGCCCACCCCTTCCCGGCCCCGGGCGCCGTGCCGGGCTGCCCGCCCTCCCCCACACCCCGGCCGGCCGCGGCTCCCGGGCTTCCTGCCCCGGGGAGGCGGCTCCGCCTCGGGGCCCCTCGGTCCCGTCCAGCTCTCTGCTCTTGCCTGCCCCCACCCGCCATCTCCGCAGGGACACTGCCCCCCACGCCGGGCACCCCGGCTCTGCCCTGCCCCCACAGCCGCCAGGGGAAGGACGCAGCCCGGTCCCGTGCCAGGCCTGTGAGTGTCGCGCCCCGCCCAGCCGGCCAGGAATGCGGCTGGACGGCGGGGGCGGACGCAGACACCCAGCTCTGGCCAGGCCTATCACACGGGCCGTCAGGCAGGTGGCCCTGGCTTGCCTGGGCCTGGGTTTCTTCTAGAAGGAAAGCCAGCTGCCTGCCCCTGACGGCCCTCTTAGCGCCACCAAACCCAGAGGCTTTATTTTGGCGACTGTCTCTAAGTAGCCCTATTCTTTGCCCCAAGACAGATGTGAAGCTGAGAGTGGATTTTATTTTTAAAACCTGGCGGGTGTCTCCCTTTCTTTGACCATTCTCCAGGAGTGCTGACACGGTGGTGCTCCTGTAGAAACTGTCTGGCCTCCAGCTCTGTTTTCATTTCTGGGCCATTCTGGAAGCTCCCACCCCCTCTCCACAGGATACCCAGGGAAGGACTGGATTCATTTTTAAAAAGTGACTCGGGGCCTCCCATCACGTGCACACACAGGCTCAGCAAAGAAACCTGGCAGCGTGTTCTGGGGAGTGTATCTGTCTGCTTCTCAGGCCAGTAAGGGAGCGCATGGACTATGAGCTGAAAGCCCCTCGTCCTCTCCTCTAAGTCTGTGTCCTCAACTGTGAAGTGGGGATCACCATCATCCCCATCTTTGTGGGGTTGTTACAGGATTAACTAATACAGCAAGCACTTCAAAGAATGCCTGCCAGGCAGTCCAGGCTAAGCGTTAAACATTATTGTTCACCCTGGCATTAGCCCAGAGACAAAGAAGCACAGGAAACTTTCCAGAGTTGGTTTTAATCTCAAAAAACAGGTTGAGGTCTCTTCCCAAATCAAGAAAAGAACAGCCTATACTGAGACCCAGAGGATTCAGTCCAGCATGGGGCCTGGCCCAATCTCACTGTAGCCACCTGTCCATCACTAGGGGCCAACTCCACACATCACTACAGTCCTTCCACAAAAGGACAGATGTGAAGTTGCCCAGGACAGGATTTTATCTCTCCAAAGTGGCCCTGTCTCTGGGTGAGGGCAGCCAGCTGTGTCTTTCCAAGGAGGGCTGGTCTAGCCACCAGGCTCAGTTCAGACGCCAGACAACCATCCCACCCTTGGGCTCAACGCCCTGGCCCTGGTGGCCGCTCTAGTGCCTGTGTGCCCACCAGCATGTCCATGAGATAGTCCAGCTCAGCTTCATCCAACTCTGGAGCTCCCTCCTTGCCTGGCCCATCCTCAGGGGCAGGCTTGAGGCCCTCAGAGGCTGGTACCCAAAGTTCACTGTCATACATGGAAGTGTCAATGTCCTCAAACAGGCCCTCCAGCCCATCATCCAGCAGACAGCCCGTGGCTGGGCCAAGCAGGTCCAAGGCACCCAGGTTAGGTGAGGTCCCCCCAACGGGGCGGCCTGGTGGGCCCTCATCTGCCAGGGGTTGGGGTGCCTGGCTCAAGCCCTCAATATGGCTGAGGTCCTCTAGGAGGCTAGCCATGGAAGCTGAGAGTGTAGCATCGGAGCTGGCCAGCAGGTTATCAGCTACATTGGGAACTATCGGTGGGCTGGGCACAGGTGGCAGGGTCACTGCAGGTGCCATGGAAGCCTGGATGCGCCGCAATGTGTTCACCACCAGCACCAGATGCCGCAGGTCCGGCTCGCTCTGCCGTAGGCTGTGGTGGAGTTTGAGCACAGAGAGGTCAAAAAGGGAGCTGGAGGCCAAGGTGGGGGGCGCCTGTGTCACTGCTGGAAGGCCAGGATCCAGCCACCAGGCATCGACTTCCAAGGCTTCCTTCTCCTCCTCCTCCCGCTTGCGCTTGAGACCCTTGCTCAGCATCATCTGCAGAAAGGGAAGTGCCATGTTTGTTTATGGAAAGCAAATATTAAGTTCCCACCCTGGCCTTGACAGTCTGCTGTCCATATGATGTTAGACAAGTCATTTTACCTCTCTGGGCCTAAATTTTCTAAGATACAGATAACGATATCTTCCTTATAAAATATTAAATGAAATAAAAAGCACAAGTCTGGTACACGGTAATTACTAATAAGTACTTTTTTTTTTTTTTTTTTTTTTGGCTTTTTAAAACAGGGTCTCACTATGTAGTTCAGGCTGGCCTCAAACTCACAGAGATCCTTCTGCCTTAGTCGCCCAAGTGCTGGGATTACAGATGTACGCTAATGCCCAAAAGCCTAAATCCCTTGATAATATTATTGCTGGGTGTGGTGGTGCATGCCTGTAATCCCAGCACTTAGAAGGCTGAGGGATGAGGATGGAAGCAAGTTCAAGGCTAGTCAGGGCTGTATAGTGAGTTCAAGGCCACCTTGGACTACATAATGAAACCTGCCTCAAAAAAGTGTTTTTTCAGTGAGCTGTATGGAATGGCCTTTTAATTTACAAAAGCAGCTGTTTCACACAGATAATGTTACTGAGTGTCCACTATACGGCAACAATAAATGAACATAGGAAATGTGTAGTGAAGGAAAGATACCAAAAGACACTGGATAAGGGAAGGCTCCTCAAAGGTGACATTAAAACTGAGTCCTGGTGTATGAGAAGGCGTCAGCCATGAAGAATCAGGGAGAAAGCAGTCCAGGAAAGATGGGGAAGAAAAAGGCAAAAAACAAACAAAACAAAAACACCTAAGGCTGAGATCACCGAGTTTTGTTCCCTCCCCCACCCCAGCTTTGGTACTTTTTTTTTCTTTTCTTTTAGCCCTGATACCCTCGAACCCAGGGTTCCACACTTGCCAGGCAGGCCACTTGCTGCTGAACTACATTCCCAGCCCAGGATCACTGGAGTTTGAGGTCTGCCTGGACTATATAGTTAGATCAAGGATAGCCTAAACTACATACTAAGTCCTTGCCTCAAAATAAATAAGTAAATAAATAAATAAAAATAGAAAAAAACAGAAAAAGACTTAAAGGCTGGAGGAGCCTGAATTGAAAAGGCCCAGCATAGCTTGTGCCCAGTTACACGCCGGGGAGTCCCGGTGGGGGTGGGGCGCAGACAGAAAGCTGGGGAGGCAGAGTTTGGGTTTTCAGAAAGACAGGGAGACACCGAGGGATCTGAACAGGGAGGGGAGTGGCGTTGTGAGCTGATTAGGTTTCCAGCAGAAGAAGCCTGGAGGCAGGGCAGGGGGGCACGGTGGAGGGCGAGTGTGGGCTGAGACCCAGAGGGAGGCTGCTGTCCTCCTGGGACGCGCAACGCTGACAGCCCGAGCAAAGGCTAGTACTAGACATGGAAAAGAAGCGGATTCGGAACTTAAGCGGGAGGCGGGGTGGTCAAGGCTTGCTGGGAAACCCTGATGGGCACCGGAGTAGTCCCTGAGAGAAGTTTGAGGACCCATACTCTTTCCAGCGTGGGGAGGGTCCGGAGCTTTGGAGTACTGGCCGGAAACTACATTTGGAGGGCCGAAGTGCCTGTGAGCCAGACGCTATCTAGCAAAACTGTAAGAGCGATTCCCCCAATACTTAAAAATGGGTCTTTGCCCTTATCGAAGACCAGGAGTCCGGACCCGCAGGAATTCAACCCCCACCCGGCCCCGGCTCCCCGCCCCCCGTCCCTGCGCCCCCTAGCGGCACCCAGGCCGGCTTTCCCTAGAGGATCCTAGTCTCTCTGACCCTCGACCTTCTTACACTGCCCCGCGCCCCGCCTAGGCTTCCCGCTCCCGCCCGAAGGGGCCAAAATCTAGACCCCAGCGGGCGGCTCTGCGCTCCGGCCTTCTCTCGCTTCCGGAAGGCAGCGGCAGCGGCGGTGGCGGGGGCGGGTGAGTCACGCAGCCGGAGCCAGGGAGCAGGCGCCTCCGCCCCCTTCTCGGGCTGCGGCGTGATTCACCCAGCCCGTCCGGGGCGGGTGGCAAGCAGAGGCCCCGAGCGTCTCAATGCGGGATAGCCCAGATGACCCTCCGCAAGACCCAAGGATGGAATACCATAAGGACCCGACCGCCGGTACCCCTTTTCTTTCCAGGCCGCTTCATTTACATACCCAGCTCACTCGCTGCCAATCAGAACAAAGAAGTAGCCACCCGTAGCCAATCAAACAGCGGCAGGGACAGCATCGCTCGCTCACTCTCCTTCAGCAACCGGCGCTTAGGTCTGGAGACGCAGCTCTGACTCTGGCTCACGACTCCAGACTCCTGACTACCCTTTAACCACGCCCACTCGCATGGAGGCCCCTCCCTCTAACCCAGGGATTGGCCCTGGGTAGTAATGGGTGGGACCTAGAGAGGGGCTGATTTAAAGGGAGGGGTGGCTGGCTTCTTGGAGCGTGTCACGGCAACTGCGGTGGCTAAGTAGGGAAGACCCGTGGCTATTTGCTGTGTGGGATGGCAGTGGTTAGGAGCTTTTTGGGTTTTCAAAGTACAGTTTCCACACACTTACCAAACATAGCAATGGAGCTTGTTATAGTATACTCAGCCTCAACAGAGATCTACATTCTAGGCCAGATAAACCTGGGTTCAAACACTGTCTTACCACTCATTTGATATGTGACCTTGGAAAAATGCTGGAGTTCTCTGAGCCATACAAATTCTGTTCAGAGGGACTCTTCTCACCTGCCACTTGAGAGTTAGGAAACTCAGAGTGAAATCGCATCTGTAAGAACCCTACATCAGACAGCAAATGCTGGAGGATTGGACTCAGTTGTTGTTCAAGATGGGGGTGAGATGGGTGTGGGAATTCATCGAGTTACTTCCAGGACTCCATTCTCTAAGCAGCTATGTGACCTTGGGGAAGGTTTTAATCCTTTGGAAGTAGGTGTGGTGGCACCATGGTAATCCTGACTACTCTCTAGAGTAGGGCAGAAGAATTGAAAGTTCAAAACTAGCCTGGGCAATTTAGTGAGACCTGTTTCAAAATTTAACAAAGGCAAATCGGGCATGGTGGTGCATACCTGTAATTCTAGAATTCAGAAGGCTGAGGCAGGAGGATGTTGTGAGTTCGAGACCATCCTGGGCCACAAAGTGAGCTCAAGGCCAGGCTGAACTGCATAGTGAAACCTATCTCAAAAAGAAAGAAAAAATTAACATGGGCAGCCGCCAGGTATGGTGGTGCATGCCTGCAATCCCAGTATTTGGGAGGTTGAGTGCATTGGAAGTCAGCCTAGGCTGCATAGCAAATTCCTGTCTCAAACAACCGCAAGCAGCTGGAGATTTAGCTCAACAGCATAAGCACCTGCCTGGTAAGCACAAGGTGAGGCATTTGATCCCCGGTACCAAAAAAAAAAAAAAAAAAAAAGAGTAGATGAGGGCTGGTGATACAGCTCAGCATCAGGCAAGTACAGGGTCATGAATTCCAACCCCCCCCCAAAAGAAAAAAAACTAAAGCCAAAAAAGCAATCTATTCAGGACCCCTCTTATCTCTCATTCTTTTTTTTTTTTTATTTTTTTTTTTGTCTTTTTCTTTTTTATTGGTACCTGTGATCTATCTCACGACCGCCTGCTTGCAAGGCAGGTGCTTATGCTGCTGAGCTAAATCCCCAACCCCAAATTTTCCTACTCTTTAAAAAATGAAAGAAAGAAAAAGAAAAGAGTGAATACAGTTAAGTAATTTTTATGTTTTTTTTTTTTTTGTCTTTTTGAGGCAGGGTATCTCTATCAGTTCAGGTTGGCCTTGAGCTTACTTTGTAGCCCAGGCTGGTCTCGAACTCGCAATGATCCTCCTGCCTTAGCCTCCTGAGTGCTGGGGTTACAGGCGTGAGCCACCTCGCCTGGCTAATTTTTTTTTTTTTTTTTTTTTTTTTTTTGTCTTTTGAGATAGGGTTTCACTATTCAGTTCAGGCTTTAAATTCACTTTGTAGAAGCCAGGCGAGGTGGTGCCCTGAGTGCTGGGATTACAGGCAAGAGCCACCACGCCCAGATCAAAATTAATCTCCTGTTGGTTTTTTTTTGTTTGTTTGTTTTTGTTTTTTTGGTACTGGGGATTGAACTCACACTTGCCAGGCAGGTGTTTACACAGCTGAGCTAAATCCTCAGTCCCTTTTTCTGTTCTTTAAACAGAGTCTCACTAAGTCATTAAATTGCCCAGGCTGGAATTCAATTTGTGGCCCTCTTCTCTCCAGCTCTCAAAGTACAGGGGTTGCAGGTGTAGGTCACCACATAGGGCTTATTCTAAACATAGAGATGTAGCTCTGGTGGTAAAGCAGTTGCCTAGCATGCATAGGATCCAGCAGCACTAGAAGGAGAGAGAGAGGCAGGAGGGTTGAAAGTTCAAGCCCAGATAGGGGGAAGCTTTAAAAACTTAATGAAATATAAGTCAGTGTGAAGGCCCTGGACTCAGTCCCTGGGGGGACTGCCAGTCCCACTAAGCAAATCCACATCTCAGTCTCTAAATGGCTCCTAGAAGTCACCTGATTAACACACAATTATTGAGCATCCACTATGGGTGGGCCCCACTGTAAATGCTAGGGGTGCGGTACTGGATGGACTTCACATAGTCTCTCCTCTCCTGTGTCTGGGGAAGGGAAGGACAGAAAAGAAATATGAGAAGTAATGTATTCATTGACCTGTAAACATCCACATCAAACCTTCTGTGAGACAGATCATCTTTTGGGGGAGTTGGTTTGGAGGTTCCAACAGGGCAGCAGAGCTATACTCATCCAAGGAAAGGGTCCTTTTCTATCAGGGGTGGTCTTTCTCTTCTGCAGAACAAATACACCATGTGAAGTGGTGAGGGAGGAAGAGAACATCGCCCAGCCAGCTCAGCTGAATGGATCCTGGTGACCAGCAGGGTGACAGATATCACAGCCAGGGTGTCCTCACATCTCAGATAATCTTTTGGGGCACTGAAGATACAGTAGTGAGATTACAGATCAAAACCCTTTGCCAGGCATGGTAGTGCATGCCTGTAATCCCAGCACTTGGGAGGCTGAGGCAGGAGGATCACGGAGAGTTCAAGGCCAGCCTGAGCTGCACAGCAAGATCTTGTCTTTATTATCCTAAAATTCTTGCTGGGAGGAAACAGACGATAAATTTAGGGAAATTACATAGTATTTAGGAGCTCAACAAAGAACAAGGCTAAAGAAGAGTGGGAGGGGAGTAACAAAAAGAAGGGGTTCTCTGAAGAGGCAACATTTGAATAATAGAGATCTGATGAATGAGATAAGTAGCCAAAGTGGAGGAACAGTGTTGGGAGGAGGCAGTGCAAAGGCCCAGAGGTGCTGTCTGCCCTGTGACAAGGCCAGAGACCCTGAGCTGGGAGGTGCTGGAGAGGCGACCAGCAACGTTCCATCTTCCAGACCATTCTGTGGACTTTCTCGCTCCAAGTGAGAGGAGAAACTTTTGGAAGATGAAGCAATAAAGAATGTCAATTTCTGCTTCTGTTTAGTGATCTGAAGAAAACACGGATGATAGGGAGGGGTGAGGGGTCTGTAGACAGGGTGAGCCTCTCCAGGCGGTGACACTAGGGCTGGGACCATAAAGTGGAGAAGGAGCCAGGAATTCAAAGGCCCAAGTGGGGCGGGGCGGGGTAAGAAAGACAGAGGCCGGGCCTCGGGAAATGAAACCAGAGGTGAAGCTACCAGGCCGGGCCGGAGCGGGAGCCTCCGCCCGCCCGGGAGGAAGGGAGGAAGGGAGGGGGACGGGCAGGGCAGCGTCCCGCCCCGCCCCGCCCCGCTCCGCCTGGCCTCTGGGGAGGGAGGAGGCGCCAGGCCGGCTCCCGGCCGCCAGCGCTGACTCCTGGGCTGGCGGGTCCGGTGGGCAGGTGGGCGGGGCCGGCCTTCCGCCACCGGGAGCCTGGCGGCCCATCCCCACGGGAGGCGGGCTGGGGACCGGCGGTGGACTCTGCCCCGAGAGCCTCAGTTGCCCTTGCGGGGCCAGGCTCTTTACTTCTTTAACAGGTGCGACATTAGGAAAAGAGCTGGAAAGCAGGGGTGCCCCTCTAATTACTGGCCTCATGGGGTACTAACAAGCTCCCTGATTCCTCTTCTCTTGGTTATTTTAGGGAAGTCAGAGAGTTCTAAGAAAACGGTGAGTCAGGTCACATCCCTCTGTAGAACACCCTTCCTCCCCCTGTGTGGCTTCCGGCTCGCTCAGAGCAGAGCTAAAGTTTTCCAGCAGGACTCCCCCTCCCCCAGATCCTGCAGGATGCGCCCTTCATCCTTTTGGCCTCATCTCCAGGTATCTTCCCCCAAAGTTGCTCTTTCTGTACCAGGCACTCTGGGCTCCCCAGGGCCTTTGCAATATCTGTTTGCTGAGCCTGGCTTGTCCCCAACAGATCCATAGGGTTCAGCCTTCACCTCCTTCCTGTCTCTCCCGAATGTCACCCTCCCTGTGAGGCCTTCTCTGACTGTCCCTTCTAAATAGCAAAACTCATCCTTGTCACTAACCCCGATCATTTATCACCACCTGACACTGTACTTTTCAATTTTTTTGTGTGTTTATTTCAGTTTTCTTTCATAATTAGACTTTAAGAGAACAAGGCTTGTTGCTTTTTGGGTTTTTTTGGTGGTGATGGGGGAGAGGGTCTCACTATGTAGTTCAGGCCGAGCTTAAACTCATCATGGTGATTTTCCAGCACCAGTGTACAAAGTACTGGGCATGTGCCACCATGCCCAGCCATAGTAAATAATTTTTGAGCACCTATGTCCAGCACCTTTCTAGGAACTGGAGGATGGGGACAGCTGGGAAAAGCATATCACTACCCCTCTTCTCCATGAATGGATAATAAATAACTTGGGACTGAATAGGCCCTGTTAAGAAAGTCAAACAAGATGTAATGGAGTTATGGAGCCTCTGGGCATGTTGAACTGGGAAGGGCAAGGGACACTGGGATTGAAACTAGGAGAGAAATGGCCTCTGGGCAGACTTCTCAGCAAATGCAAAGGCCCTGTGGTAGAACTGTGTCTAGTGCTGGTTAGAGTTGTGTGGGGAGAAGAGTAGCAGCCTGAACTAGGGAAGTTGTCAGGACCAAAAGTAGTGTCAGTTGGAACTGTTTCTTGCCTTTGAGACAGGGTCTTGCTATGTAGTTCTGGCTGGCCTGAAATTCATGGTGATCCTACTGCCTCAGCCTTCCCAGTGCTAGGATTATAGGCATGTGCCACACCTGGCTTGCAGCTGGCATTTTATGATGGGGTAAGAAATTGCTGGAGGGCCCACTGTGTTCCCTGTTGCATGTGGTCCACTCTCGCATGCGGTCTGTTCTCATGCTGCAGAATATATTTCTTTTCCTGCTTTTACTTGGTTCCAACTTGTTCACTGAGCCTGTTTCTTCTACCTCTAATAAAACTTTACTATTAAAAAAAAGTGTAGGGGCTGGGGATTTAGCTCAGCGGCATAAGCACCTGCCTTGCAAGTGTGTGGTCGTGAGTTCAATCCCTGGTACTGGTAAAAGTACAAAAATACAAAAAAAAAAAAATGTGATCCAAATGACATCCACCTGGAACACAAGCCTTATTTATTGTGCTTTTTGCTAGTACTAGGGATTGAACTCTGAGCCTTCGTACAGAGCTATATACCCCAACCCAGCTCTGTTTTCTTTCTAGACAGGGTCTCACTGGGCTTGAATTTGTAATCTTCCTGCTTCAGTATCTCGGAATGCTGAGATTACAGGCCTGCCCCACCATAAGGGGATTCAGACAGGACTTTTTCTGGTGTTTCTGTGACTGTCTTGACATGTGGTTCAGCTGGCCTTAAACCCACTGTGCAGCTGAGGCTGGCTTCAAACTCAAGAGAATACTCCCACATCAGCCATTCAAGTGCTGAGATTACAGGCATGTGCCATCATATTCAGTAGACAGGACTATTTTTTTGTTTTCGTTTTGTTGGTACTGGGAATTAAACTCACGACCTCATGCTTATCAGGCAGACTGAACTATTTCCCTAAGCCCTAGACAAGACTGTTAATGTGCATGACTGTACACTATCATGTACAGTATTTATACCTGTCCCACCTTTGGCAGGAAAAGGGTATGCATGTGTAGGAAACTTACCAGGTCCCTCCCATCATCCCAGTTAACATTAGCAACTTAATGTAACATCACTCCTTCCAAAATACTTTTATTTAAAAAAACTTATAAACAAAAAAGCCACCACAAACCCTGCCTTTTTTTAAATAATGCGGCATGGAGCAGTTTGGTTTCCACTCTATTGCACGTAGTCCGGCCTGGTTATAAATCAGGAGGCTGCTAGGACTGGGGTCCTTGTAAGGAACTAGAGTTCAGCTTGTGGGGAGGAGGCCAGCCCCTCCCACTCCAAGAGACAAGAGCCTGGGTTTCCAGAGAAACCTGGCAGCACACCCCTGTCAACCTCTGACAGGCCCTGCTCCAACTTCCCTGAGGCCCCAGTGGTCACAAGGGTAGTGGGAACTGGAGGGAAAGGCAGAAGAAATGTGTGAAAACTTAAGACTCCCAGAAATGGAGCCCCTTTAAGGCATTTGGAATAGATAAATTAAATCAGGAAGATCCACCTTCACAGAAGGCTGGGGTAACCAGACACACACATGCGAGATAGTTTGTGGAACCCGGAAATGGGAGAGGAGGCCAGTCACTATTTAGAGCCCCCACCAACACACAAACACACACACACACAGCTGCATCCAGGGATCTAGCCCATCACCACTGATGTGAGGAAGGACCCCTGCCTCACTGCAGTTTTAGGACCCTAGAATGATTTCCATGATGTGATCGAGTTCATTCCACTCCCAGGACCCTGGGGCACAGAAGAGGCTGTGTGGAGGATCCAGAGGGGCCAGTGCAGGTTCCTTTTCTACTGCAGAAGTGTCAATGTCCAGAAAGAAGTCATCCAGGCCAGAGTCCCCCAGGTACCGGGAGCTCAGAGCTTCTAAGAAGACTGGATCAGGCTGGGGCAGCACTTCATTCTGGAGGCCTGTGGGAGCCACTTGATTCTGAGGTGATTCCGTCTCATCCATGGAGGTCTCCAGCTCCCTGAGGATGGAGCCAATGGTGGCAGACAGGGAGAAGTCTTCCTCGCCCAAGAAGAGGGGCTCTGGGGGCAGGGCAGGTGCCGTAGACATGTGTATGGAGGCCTGCAGCTGTTGCAGGGTGTTGTGGATGAGGACATGCCGGAGGAGGCTGGGTGCTCGGGGACCCAGGCTGCGCTGCTGGACTTTGTCTAGAGAGATTCGGAGCAGGGCTTGCTGGTAGTTCCGAAGGCCTGCTGGACTCCAGTCCCACTTCCCATCTTTCTCCTCTTCCTCTTCCAAATCAGAGTGTTTCCTCTTCAAGCCTCCCACCATGATGCCCTAAGGACAGAAGAGGGAAAAGTGGGATGCAGGGTCATACGTATCCTATTTTCTTAGGCAAGACTGCACAGCTATAGGTGACTTTTAACTACAAGGGTTTCTGTTTATTCATCTATAGAAAATGCAGATAGTCTGAACCCTACAGGCTAAGGAGGTAAGTAAATACATGTGATTAAGAAAATAAAATGTAGTCAGGTGTGGTGGTGCACACGTGTAATCTCAGTACTTTGGGAGGCTGAGGTAAGAAGACCACAAGTTCGGGGCTGGGGATAGAGCTCAGCAAGTGTGCCTGCCTGGCAAGCGTGAGCTCATGAGTTCGATTCTCAGGACAAACATAAATCTTTAAAAAAATCACAAGTTCAAATCCAGACTGTACAACTCAGTAACTTTGTAAGAGCCAGTCTCAAAATAAAAATAGGACAAGGGACATAGATCAGGGCCAAGCCCTGGGTTTAATCCCCAGTACCACACACACACAAAAAGTGAAAGTGAAACTCTGAATTTGATCTTCAGCGCTGAAAAGAAGATGTGGAGTACATAGCTGGGCTTTTAAAGCCCTTTTTGCCTTTTGTGGCCTCAAATAGTGAATTTACATCCATGAGACTCAAGCTCATTTGCAAAGGAAAGATCCTAATTCAAGTCTGAGTCTTCAAATACCTATGTAATACTCATTTCTTCAAACACACCCAAGAGACAGATGTGGAATAGAGACCTGGGCCAGAAAAAGGGAATCGTGGGTTTGAACTCCGTCTTGGCCACTGCTCAGCTGTGTGTGTGATACTGACCAGTGATAGGACATCACCTATCAGGGTCTGTTTGCTCAACTGTAAAATGGGAATTGTAAAAAATACTTCCCACAGCATCATAAGGAAAAGCCGCGTTTAACATCCACAGGGCACAGAACACACCAAGTGCTTTTTTTTTTTTTTTTTGTCTTTTTCCTTTTTATCGGTACCGGGGATCGAACTCACGACTGCCTGTTCGCAAGTCAGGTGCTTATGCCACTGAGCTAAACCTCCAGCCCCTACACCAAGTGCTTAATGAACACACGTTAATTGCCTTTTATTCATTTAGTAGCTTTATTTGCTGAGTGCCTAATATATTCGCGCCACCTGGCGCCCTGTTCAGTACACCTATTCGTAAATGTACTTCTTTACAGGGAAGACCTTCTGTCCATGCTTTGTTCCTTAACAAACTGGGAGGGCTCCAAAGCAGGGAATGGGCCTTCCATATTCCTTCTATTCAATCGTTCAGCTTCCCTCAAAGAGCGCCCCATAAGAAAATTTGCTAAAACTCAACCCAAGCCCGGGCCAACAGTTAGTCCGAGTTGCACAGGCCCCACCCTTCCCTGGGTCTTTCCATTCAGCATCCAGAAACGCCCCAATTTGGCCCTCGAGCTTCTGGGAAGTGTGGACCCACGGCCGCAAAATACAAGCACCTACACTTAGGTGAGCACTACAATCCCCAGAGGGCTTCGCACGCTAGCAGAGCGGAGCTCCCCGCCCTCCCTTAGGGCATGCGCACAGGGGCAAAGCTGGTGGGGGCAGGGAACCCGGACATCCAGCTGCCAGGCGCCCTCAGAGCCCCGCCCTCTGTTGCCTCCTGGGCGGCGGATGAGCTCCACGCCCAGAATACCTTCCCCCACCCAGAAAGCCCTAAGTCTGCTTTCTCCGTTTACTAAAATCCCAGAAAATCCAACATTCTGCCCCAAACTGCCCTCAGGACCTAAGCCCTAACACATCACTCAAACAGGACAAATGTTCTCCCATCCTCCCCGATGGGGAGAAAAGGCATCTCTAATGAGGACCCCACGCACACACACTAGCTCCCAGTTTCCTTACTTCCCAACGCCTCTGGACTTCACTTCCCAACTCCCCGTCTGTCGCCAAGACCCGAACACTGAACTCTCCCTGGCAGACTCTCTCTGCCATGGCATCTTGGAGTCAAAAGATTCTTCGACTCCGGTTCTCTTGGTTTCTCCAAATGTTCGGGACTCAACCATGGACTCGAATTCAGGCTGTCAGGAAGACTCAAACTGTTTTAATCTTCAGATTCCCTTTCCAAAAAGTTCCTTCCCCCGGCTTCTCTTGCTTCTCCACACACCGCAAGTCTCAGCTTCAAGTTCCTTCCACTGCATTGTCCTCCCTCTTCTCCTGCCCAGGACCTCAGACTGCCCCCGGGCCCCGACTCCAAACCACCACAGTCACCCTCAATCTGCGCCCTCCACTCCCTCCCAGACTCCGCCTCCGCCAATCTTGGGGCGCGCCTCCACCTCTTCCCAACCCAAGGTAAATCCCCAGACAGGTGGCCACTCCTACCTCAGCGGCTAGGTTCGCAGCGACCCCGGGACGCCTGCAGCGTCGCGCTCCACCAGGGCTGGGTAGGGATCTCGCTCTCCTCCCGGGGCCTCTCAGTCTGGCCTACGGCCACCCAGCTCCGCCTCGGAGCCGAGCCGCGTCGCAATTGGCCGGAGTCCTGCTTAGCCGGGCTCCTATTGGCTGGGCGGAGCCACGACCGGACGCCACGCGCCTCGCGACATTACCCTCTCCTCCTAACGCACCGGACCATTTAAAGATTCGAACTCAGCTGGGGGACGTCTCTAGGAAGGAGAATGGGTGGCGGGCAGTACCTCTTCCTTCAACTCAGCTACAGATCTTTCTCGGACTTCGTCAGAACTGCTTTCTGCGTCCCCTTTATATTTAGGCTTGGATCTTGTCATGAAGCTAGACCCGCTGACTTGGTCGTCCTCTAAATCGCTCCCGGCCAAGCGGGGCTGAGCTGCTAAAAGAGGCTCTGCCCCTGGGCTCTGAGTGGGTGACGTAGCTAAAGGCTAGCCAATTAATTGGCGCGGCCTGTGTTGCCTGGCTACCGCAGCCCCGCCTTCTACTGCCACTGACCGAGGCGCGCCTCTTGTTAATCCTGAAGGGTTGTCTACTCGGCTTGGGGTGACCCTTCTTGGGTCCCCGAGACACTGCATCCTGTCACTTTTAGGAAAGAGAGCTTTCGTTCAAACTCCATGCTTTTGCCACAAAACACTTCATGATGTGGCCAGTCCCGAGCCCCTTGCTTTCTAATGGATATTGTTTTTCTAATTTTGTTTTGAAACAGGGTGTCTAAGCAGTTCAGTCTGGCCTTCAACTCACAATGGAGCCTAGGCTGGCCTCGAAGTCGTGGTGATCCTCCTGCTTCAGTCTCCCAACCACTGGGGTTTACAGCCGTTTTGCATCATACCTGGCTATGTAGAGCATTTTAGAAAAACTGAAAACATACAGCTGGACATGGCAGTGCACACTGTAATCCCAACACTAAGGACACTGAGGCAGGAGAATCACCATACATTTGAGGCCAGTGTAAACTACACCATAAGACCCAGTCTCAGAAAACATGGTGGCACATGCTTGGAATCCCAGCACTTAGGAGGCTGCGGCAATAGAATCCCCACGCACTTAAGGCCAGCCTGAAGTACATAGACAAAAAATAAAAACAAACCAAAAAACCCTCACAAGCCTCCACCCCATCCCAAAGGACACCAAGTTTTTTGGTTTGTTTGTTTGGTCCTTTTGTTTTGTTTTTTGAGACAAGGTTTCACTATGCAGTTCAAACTGGCCTTGAACTCACTCTGTAGCCCAGGCCGGCCTCAACCTCACAGCAATCTTTCTGCATCAGCTTCCCAAGTGCTGGGTTGGAGGCATGAGCCACCACATCCGGTTTAGAGCACCAAGATTTTATGTTTTATTTTAATTGCCTAAAACATGGCCAGGTCCACAGCAAGCACTCAGAACTGAAAAAGAACTGCGTTTGAGTCAAATTTGTTTCCTCATCCTGAAAATGTCCCCTCAATTCCTAGGTTGCCCTATAGGGGACTCTCTCCAAGGCTTTCCTTCTCCCAGAAACCCTTCCTGGGTTAGGATCCATTCTGAGCTCCTGTGGCCTCTGGGGTCCAGGGCAGTCACTATCCTGACTGTGGGTCCCCTGAGGACAGGCTGCCTTAGTCCCCTAGTGCTTGTTCTCAGAGCACTAGCACAAAGCATGCACTCAGTGAAAGTTAGTTAGATGCTCCATAAGGCAGAGAAGTTGAGAGGGCCAAATTAAAACACTGCTGGTGTCATGCAAGCCCCTGCCAGCAATGCGCAGCCTTGGTCCCCAAACAAGTGTTCCCTAAAGGGAGACAGAGGTGGTGGCTTCTCCATCTACACCTGGAAAGAGAAAGTTCCTGTTTTTCTTTTTTTGTAGTGCTGGCATGGTACCAAGGGCCTTGAACCTGCTAGGCAAGAAAGCACTCTACCACTGAGCTATACCTCAGCCAGGGATGGAGAAGGCTTCAGGAAGTTTCATTCTGGGCTTCTTCCTGGTTGCTTCTGTCCTCCTGTGCTCCCCAAGGTCCCTCCCTTGGTCTGGCTTCCCTAGCTTCCACTCTTGTCTCCCTCTGATCCCCCTTACCCATCATCGAGGGAAGCTTTATAAAACACTAACCCGAGCTGGGTGCAGTGGCACAGATTCTATAATCTCAGCACCTGAGGAAGGAGAATTGAGTTTCAGACCGGCCTGGACTGAAATGTAGTGAGACCTTGTCTCAAAACAACAACAATAAAATGCTGGACATGGTTGTACACATTTGTAATCCAAACACTCTGGGAGGCTGAGGTAGGAGGATAGCAAATATGAGCCCAACCTGGGAAACTTACCAATATCTTACTTTAGAATAAAAAATGGATCGAGGAAATAGCTCAGTGTGAAAGACCTAGACTCAATACCCAGTATACCAAAAACAAAGTACCATGCGGGCACACACACACACACACACACACACACACACACACACACCTAGCTATGTGCTTTCCAACTTCCTGGACTTTGCCCATGTTGTTTCTTCTGCCAGGAACCTTCTCATAGCTCATTCTCTTTTTTTCACTCTTTTTTTTTTTTTTTTTGGTGGTACCAGGGATTGAACTCATGACCTCACACTTGCCAGGTAGACGCTTATGCTGCTAAGCTAAATCCCCAGCCCCTCTTGGCTCATCCTTAATAAGCCAGGTTTCAGGTTGAACATGCACCCTTTTTCTACAGAGCCTGTAGACTCCTCTGGCTGGGTCAGGTACCTGCTCTGGGCTCCCACAGCCCTACTTGCTCCACACTTCACACCTCTGACCATTTTGTATTATTACTCTCGGGGTGCCTCTGCCACTCAACTGTGAGATCCAGGGAAACAGGGAAAGCTGGGTTCCTATGGTATTATGGTTTGGATTCGAAATGTGCCCCAAACTCAAGTGCTAAGTGCTCAGCTGCTAGCTAATAGACTTTTGCAAGAAGCAATTGGATCATGAAGGGCTCTGACTTAAGTAGATTAAGCCATTGATTCGATCAGGATTTGACAGCCTTATGGGAGGTAAGGCCTAATTAAAAGGAATGGATCATGGGTGTGACCATGGGAGCTAAATCTAATCTGTCTCCCTCGTCTCTTCACAGCTGCCATGAGGGGAGCTTTCCTCTGCCTTGTTTCTGCTGTGCCACCAACCTAGAAGCAATGGAGCCAAGTGACACTGACTGAATCTTCTGAAATCATGGACCAGAATAAACTGTTACTCCTCTAAATTGTTTTTCTTTGGTATTTTGTTCATGGCAGGGAGAAGCTGACTGACACTGGACTCGCAGCACAAGACTGGGCACAAAGAGGGACCCTAAACTGTCACTGAACAGAGTACCCAGAAAATCATACACAGCCACTGAAATCCTCAGAGGCAGAGGTGAAGAGTCACACAGTCAGACGGTCTGGAAAACAACCCTGAAGCCCATAGCTCACGATTTATTGCTCCCTTCTCTGCCCCTCCTTTCCCAGAATGCCATTCTTCCAGCCAAGGCCGGGGGCCTAGTCATACTGGTGGGAGGGATAGGTGTTGTGCCCATTGTACTCATCAGTGGTCAGGCAGCGCAGCATGAAGTGGCCCAGGTCATGTTTGGAGATGACCCTTGAGGGCCCTCGTCCATCCAGGGTCACTGTGTAGGCCCCAGTCAGCGGCTGATCCCCTGGGAGGTAAAGACAGAGGGGACAGGTGAAACAATGTCTTTTCTCATCCCCCAACACATGAGCTCAGGTACTCAGCAAGGGACATAGCAGCCAGCAAGGGGATGCCCATGGACCAGTGTTTACCATACCCTTTGCATCACTTGTTCCACAAATCCTCATTGGTGTTGCTATAGTAATAGTACTAACCATTCCCTACCCACTCCCCCAAAGCCCAGAACTGGAAACTAAATGTAAGACTTTTATACTGAGCTATATCCCCAGCCCTTTTAAATTTTTATTCACTGATTTTTTTTTATGGTAGTGATGATTGAATCCAGGGCCTGCACACTAATCTATGTCCCTTAGCCTCTTTTTTATTTTTATTTTTTTCAGACATGTCTCACTACGTAGTTCAGGCTGGTCTGGAATTCACTATGTAGCTCAGGCTGGGCGCAAATTTGAAATCCTCTTACCTCAGCCTCCTAGGCCAACTTTGTCATGGATGTGGGGCAAAAGCCTGGAATTCTAGCACTCTGGGAGGCTGAGGCAGGAGGATTGCATATTCAAATTCAGGATCTATGGAGATCCTATGTCAAATAAAAGTTTAAAAATGGGCTGGTAATGTAGTTTAGCACAAAGGCCCCGAGTTCCATCCCCAGTATGGCCAAAAATAAGTTAATAAAATGACTCCAAAAGCTCATTATTGAAGCCATGGTTGCCAGCAAATGGGCTTTTTGAAGGGTTCAGTCATGAGGGTGCTAACCTAGTGGATGAGTCCACTGGAGGGGTGATAACTAGATGGGCTTATTGGGAGGTGATGGAGATGGAGACAGTGGAAGGGAGTGGACCCTGGGCAGTGAATCTGGGATTATATCTCATCCCTGGCCCTTTCCTCTCTCTGGACATCTCACTCTGTTTCTAGCAACTCTGCCCACCACACCCTTCTGCCCTGCCACAAGGCCTAGAAGCAACGAAGCCAGGTGACCGTGGACTGCAGCCTCTGAAGCTGTGAGCCCAAACACAGCTTCCTCTTCTAGGTTGTTTTTCTCACCTGTGCAAAGTGAAATGATCACCTACTATGACCTCTCATCAGCACCAGTAAGGGACAAAACAGTCAAGAATCCCTAGTCTCAGAAGACAGATACTCAGGAAGAAAAGGCGACTTCTGAGAAAGCAAAATAGTCCATGTGTCAGAAGGTGCAAGATAAAGCAGGGGTTAGCCTGGGACCTAGATGAATCCCGTTTGATGGACATGTAAACTGAGCCCATTGGTCACATGCTAGGGCTGCAAATCATCCAGTGGCAAGAGCTTGATTTATTATGGGTCCCTCCTTCTGAATCCCTCTAAGGGGAATGAAAGGGTAGTTCCCAAATATGGGTCTTCATTTTCCAGACAGTGAAGAGAGATATTCCTTTGATCTTATGAAGAAGGAGTTGGTACATCCTGATGTGAGGGATATCAGTAAGTCTGTTTCTTTCTTTTTTTTTTCTCCCCCCTCCTTTTTTCTCACTCTCTCCTCTTTTTCTACTTTTCCTTTTATTCATTTGTTCTTTGCAGCTCTGAGCATGGAACCCAGGGCCTTAAGTACACTAAATAAACACTTTAATGCTAAACTACATCCCAGCCCTGACTGGGTCTTAGTAGGGACAGTAAGCTGGCATAACCTGGCTATTGAGAGGGCCACTGGTGGCTGCACTGTGACCATTAAAAATAGTATCTCAGGCCAGGTATGGTGATGAACATCTGTAATCACCGCACTTGGCAGGCCGAGGCAGGAGGATCATTGCAAGTTCGAGACCAACCTGGACTACAAAGTGAGCTCAAGGTGAGACACTATCAAATCCCCCCTCTCTGCCCCCTGCCATGTGAGTTCAGGAGTTTGAAAACAGCTTGGGCAACACAGCAAGATCTCATTTCAAAGGAAATAAAAAGACATTTGCCTTGGTTAATGTCATGAGAAACAAACAAAAGACAAGAGAATCCATTGAGATTATACGTGAAGCCTGACAACTAAATGCAATGCATGCTTCCCAACTAGACCTTGATTTGGGGTGAAAGAGTAGGTCAAGAGATAGTTTCTGACAACTGGAAACATCTGGATATGGAAAGGAAGAGAAAGATAATGCTGCCTGCCTGAGGTGTGGTAATGGCTCCTTCTCAAGTGTTCTTCTGGGGAGATGGCTGCTGGGGAATTCAGGAGAGAACTGTGCCAGGAGCCTACTCCTACCAGGTTCAGAAAGAGATATACATGCACACATATTCCATAAGTATTTCAGAAATATGCATATATATGGTATATAAATGCTTACATATCTATCTATTGAAAGGAGAAGGGAAAAGAGGGCAAAATAGTGACCGGTGAACCTAGGCAGGGTTTGAGAGTACAGCAGTCGGGCTGGGGATTTAGCTCAGCGGCATAAGCACCTGCCTTGCAAGCAGGTAGACGTGAGTTCGATCCCCGGTACTGATAAAAACGAAAAAGAGAGTACAGCAGTCATCTTTTACTGCCTTCCACTTACTTGGAGGCTTGAAAATTTTCTCATACACAAAACCAAAACCAAAACCAAAACCTACAGGGCGAGCTAGGCATTGTGGCACACATCTGTAATCCTAGCATTTGGGAGGCTGAGGCAGGAAGATCCTTGCAAATTCCAGACGTTCCTGGGCTACAAAGTGAGCTCAAGGCTACCCCTAACTACATAGTGAAATCCTGTCTCAAAAAACAATAGACCAAAAAAACCAAAACAAAAAAACCTAAAAAGCAAGGAGGACCCTGAAGAACCTGGGCATACTGTCACAGGCCTGCAGTCTCAGCAAGCTGAGGCAGCAGAATCAGCATGAGCCTGGCCTACATAGTGAAACCTTGTCTCAAAACAAATAAATTAAAAACCAGGAAGAAAAAAATCTTGTAAATACTATTCTGTGTTGAACTAATTTTTGGGCATGATCTCTGAGTATTCACTGCAAACCAAGATCAAGAGGCAAACCCAGAGAGAGAGAGAGAGAGAGAGAGAGAGAGAGAGAGAGAGAGAAAGAGAGAGGAGAGAGAGAGAGAGAGAGAGAGAGAGAGAGAGAGGAAGGAGCTGGGATGTAGCTTAGTGGCACAGTGCCTGCCTGACAAGCACAAGGTCCTGAGTTCCATTCTTGATATCAAAAAACAAAGAAAAAGGGAGAAAAAAAACCAGGCATGGTGGAGCACACCTATAATCCAGCACTTGGGAGGCTGAGGCTAGAGGTTCACAGAGAGTTCAAGACCAGCCTGGACTTCTTATCAAGATCTTGTCTCCAAAAAAAAAAAAGCAGGAGTGTGTTGAATTGGGTGTGGTGGTACAAGCCTGTAATCCCAGCACTAGGGAGGCTGAGGCAGAAGGATTGCTGCAAATTCGTGACCAGCCTGGACTACAAAGTGAGCTCAGAAGCAGCCTGAACTACACACCAGATCCTATCTCAAAAAATAAAAACACATAAACAAACAAAAAGTGTTTGTCAGTTGTTTTGTTTTTTGGAGTTTGTATTCAGATATGAACTGGGGACTCCCCCATGTGCAGTGTTTGCAGTTTCAGGGTGACCAAGGAAGGCTCCATAGATCTCTGCAGGGGTCAGAAGGGACAACCTGGGGGTACAGCATGGCTGGCTCCCTGCCACTCACCTATGTGTGGTGGCATCACGGCCACGTACTTCAGGCCAGACTCCTGCAGCACCTTGTGCATCCGGATGTGGTCATCGGTTACGTCCTGCAGACGTGGGGGCACCTTGGCTGGGTCCCAGAGCAGGAAGGCTGGAGGGGGGACACAGGGCAGGGTCAATCTGGGCTGTGTTATTTTGATGCCAGGATGAAGTTCTGCAGTGGTTCATCATGGCCTTCTGGAAACAGGGTGACCTCGACCACAGCTCTCACTTCCCCACTGAAAGCAGTCAGCAGATCACAGTGACTTCCTTTCTCCTCCTCCCACCCACTCACCTTTTTTTTTTCTTTTTCTTGTTTCTTCGGTTCATTTTTATCGGTACGGGGGATCGAACTTATGCCGCTGAGCTAAATCCCCAGCCCCTCCCACCCACCTTTCCTCCTCCTCCTTCTTCTTTCTGTCCCTCTGCCTGTTTGTCTATCTGCCTCTCTCTCTCTCTCTCTCTCTCGCAGGTGATTGAACCCAAAGCCTTTACACTGAGCTACAACCCCAACCTTTTCTATTTTTTGTTTTAGACAAATTCTCATTAATTTACTACATTGTCCATGTGTGACTGGAACTTGTGATCCTCCTGCCCCAGGCCCGAAATGCTGGGATTGGAGCTGTGTACAAGTGTGCCCAAGTATTTTTTGAAGGTATTACTTAGCCCTAGCTAACTGTATCACCAGCTCACAGTTACAGAACATTATTGTCTTTTTTTTTTTTTTGGCCTTTTTCTTTCGGTACCAGGGATCAAACTCACGGCCACGGGCTTGCAAGACAGGTGCTTATGCCACTGAGCTAAATCCCCAGCCCCTAGTTACAGAACATTTACCATGCCTCAACTATGCCAAACGTTTTAGGAACGGTTTGGTGAGATGGATAAGAGTTGGGGCTCTGTTTTGGTTCCATCCCAGGTGTAAACTGGGATGACATAAATTGGGGCTGGGGATTTAGCTCAGCAGCATAAAGCACCTGCCTGACAAGCCTGAGGTCCTGAGTTTGATCCCGGGCACCAAAAATAAATAAATAAATAAACTGGGACTGGCATGTGGCTGTGGTAGACTGCCTTTACCATGCCTAAGGCCCTGATTTCTGATTCTAGTGCCAAAAAAATGTCACTATATTTGTGTCACTGATCACCACTGCCCCCAAGCTTTCCTCTTTACTTTACCTGCCTCTGGGAGAAAACAGGCTCCCAGTCTCAAGTGGGAGCCTAAGGCCACATAGCAAGAGCCCGGGGAGAGGGGGCACTCCCCTTTCTTCTCCTCAGCCCAAACCAACAGGCCTCTAGCCTCCAAGTGACAATTGCAAATCCAGTCTGTCACTTATCTTAGGTTTCTTTCTAACCACTTTAGATACTTGCTTTAAAAAACAATCCTAGTGCTGGGCTGTGGTGGCTCATGCCTGTAATCCTAGCACTCAGGAGGCTGAGGCAAGAGGATCATTGCGTTTGAGACCAGCTTAGGCTACAAAGTGAGCTCAAGGCCAGCCTGAACTGCATAGAGACCCTGTCTCAAAAAGACAAAAACAAACAAAAAGCAATCCTAGCCAGACAGGTTGGCTGAAAGCAGCACACTGAAAGGCTGAAGCAGGAGGATCACAAATTTGAGTCCAGCCTGGGTAACTTAGTGACTTTTTATTTGGTACCAGGAATTGAACTCACGACTTCACCGCTTGCCAGGCAGACGCTGTGCCACTGAGCCGTATCCCTGGCCTTAGTGATTTACTGAGACCATCTCAAAACAGAAAATTCTGGATGCAGCTGTGGACATAGGTCAGTAGAAAGGCCCTGGTTTCAGTCCATAGTTTAGAAAACACAAAAAACAGCTCTACACTAATGAACAAACTCTCAGCTTCTCAGAGGAAAGAGATCTTTCTGATCTTTTACCTTGAAAGTTGTACATAGAGTGAATCTCTGACACTTAACAACTCGGGATTGAAAGTGTTCTCTTTTTTTGGCTGTGACAACAGTATTGTGTTCTAGAAGAAAAAGTCCCTTTCTTATGAGTGACCGAAGAGGTCTATAACTCCACATCAAATAGTTTAGAAAGAGAAAAACAAAACCAAGAAATATTCACAGATGGGGATACAGATAAACCAATTATAATACATACAAAAATGTCAGGTTTGGGATTACTTTTCCATTTCAAAGCTTGTAGGGGAAAAAAAAGCACCAGACGATTTTGTGTCCCTACTCTCCAGTTAGCTCTTGCTTCCAGGTCTGTGCTGTTACGGGTTATCTGTGGCCCAGAGAACCATTATTTCTGCCACACAGGCTCCTCACGCCACCTCCTGTCCCAAGGAGCAGCCTGTGGGCAAACACGGAGGGGAGGAGCGGGGGCCCTGCGGACAGCCTGCTACACGTGGCACGGCAGAGTGGGCCCCACTCCCTGAGCTACCCCAAGAGACAAGGGTTATGCAAGGTGTGGTGGTGCACACCAGTAATCCCAGCACTAGGGAGGCAGAAGCAGGAGGATCACCGCAACCTCTAGGCCAGGCTGGACTACATAGTAAGTTCAAGGTCAACCCAAACTACATAGTGAGACTCTGTCTCAAAAAATAAATAAATACAAATAAACAACAACAAAACACCCAAAAATAAAAAAACAGAAAACAAGCACTGTCCCCTCCCAAGTAAAAAAAAATCAAAAATAAGAGTAACAATAGCTAACATCTTCTGAGCACCTGATATATGCAGCCCAAGTATTCAACAGAGCATTGTGAGGTTTAAGTGACTTTCATCCCAAAAGGAAGCAGACAGTATGGAGCATCCAGTGCTCAATAAACCCTTGAGTGTGAACTGCCCATGGTATGCTCTTTGGAGCCTTCTTTCTGAATTACTGGGTACTGCTGCTCTGCTTGCTTGGCAGCACAGGCATGGAAACCAGAGCCTCACCTGTGCAGGCTCTGCCACTGAGCTACAATCCAGCCCCACAGGACAACTATTTGTCCATCTCTCCATAATGGGGAGCTCCAGGTGGCAGAGTGACGGCATGTGCCTGAGTGCCACCACTTCCTTGTGAGGCCTGTGCTGGGCCTGGCATCCTGCCTGTGTCTCCTCTACACCACCCTGTTAGCTTGGCGTCAGCATGAGCACCATCTATGAATGCTGGGACTGCAGAGCCTAAGGCCATATTGGTCACCACTATGTCCTCAGCACCAACCAGCAAGCTTAAGGCACATGGTTGGTGCTGAATGAATGCATGATGACTTGGAATGGTTCAATGTCACCTTTCAGAGGTCCTTGGGCTACCTGTCCTACCCCTGCCCCCAGCTCAGGCGGGATCCATCTCCATGACCCTGCCACCCACCCGAGGTGCAGGCCACGACCTTGTCCACTCCATGAGCCTTCATGGCTGCAACAATGTTCCGGGCGCCCTCGGACATCACGGTAGTGGGACCTTTGAGGGGACAGAGAGCAGCTGTCACTGGTGGAGGTGGAGGTAGAGGTGGGGGTGAGGGTGGCAGGGGTGGGATGGGGGTGGGCGTGGTGATAGGGGCGAGACATTGGGAGGGGCCCAGTACTGAGGTCATTGCCGGTGCCCAGCAGCACAATGACAGCGTCCTGCCCAGCCACAGTCTTGTCCACATCGGCTGCTTGCCGGACATCCCCCACTATCACGTGGGCTGGCTGGGGCCCCTCTGGCGGCAGCCTGGAGGGGTCCCGCACCAGCACTGTCACTTCATAACCTGTGAGCAAAGAAAAGAGAGTAGGGTCAGCAGACAGACCTGCAGGTTATCACTCTTAGGTCCCCAGAACACCATGAGCCCCCAAACCCATCCTCTAGGTCTCCTGTCCCAGGTAGATCATCTTCAAACATTTCTGGCAAATTGAGTTATACAGCCAGCTACTTGTTAAAATAAGGCCACACACAGCTGGGTGTGGCAGCACACGCCTGTGATCCCAGTCCTTGGGAGGCTGAGGCAGGAGGACCACCAGCAGTTTGAGGCCAACCTGGGCTACATAGTGAGTTCAAGGCCATTTTGAACAACACAGTGAGACTCTGTCTCAAAAAAACAAGCTCTATAATTTCCAAGGAAGCCTCCTGGGCCTCCCCGTGTAACACAGTCCCTGCTTCCAGCAATAAAAGGATCAGTGCCTTAACTGTCACTGCTCTGGATGGGGTTCCCATCCATGCTTCAAAAGACTCAGCTGCCCAGAGATTGGCAGGAGCTGGACTGATCCCAGGCCCTGCTACAAATGTTCCCGGAAGCCCAGTCCTTCCTTGGCGGTCATAAAAGTATGTGTCTACCAAGAATTTTGGGTAACTATCTCCCAACCCAACATACACTGTACAGCTCCCATCTGGCCAGGCACAGGCTGATCGCCTGTAATCAGGATTGCATGTATAAATCCAGCTGGGGCAATTTATCAGTTTAGAGAGAGCTTGTCTCAAAATAAAAAATAAAAAAGATTGAATGGAGTTCAATGTGAAGGCTCTAAGCTCACTTCTCAGTACCACAAAAATAAACACATATACACAAATCACTAGTTATTATTATTATTATTGGTACCAGGGATCCAACTCACAACCTTGCACTTGTCAGGCAGGTACTTGTGCTGCTGGGTTTTTTTGTTTCTTTGAGACAGAGAAATTGTGTAGTTCAGGCTCAGCTTGAAATCAAAATTCACCAGCCTCAGCCTTCTGAGTGCTGGGATCACAGGTGTGAGCCACTGCACCTGGCTTATATGGTACTTCCAAAATAAAATGATTAGGAGCTGAGGATGTAGTGTAGTGGTAGCCCAACATGCCCAAGGTTTGAGCTTCAGCACTGTAAAACAATACTCTAGATTTTGTGGTCTCTGTTCTGAACTGAGTATGACTTCTCAGTTCACATGGTAAAAACTTAGAGCTTTGTGGAGGTAACTAGATTTTATTTATTTATTTATTTATTTTTTTGAGACAAATCTCTACATATCTCAGGGTGGCCTTGAATTCTCTGAGATCCTCCTGCTTCAGCTTCCCAGGTGCTGGGATTAAAGGCATGGGCCATCAGGGCCTGTGGTAACTAGATTTAGATAAAGTCCCTAGGGTGGGAACCAAAGATGAGATTCAGATATTTTTGGTTCGGTTTTATTTTATAGGACTGGGGATTAAACCAAAGGAGTTCAGAGCACAAACCCAGCCCTTTTATTTGTTTTGAGACAGGGTCTCTCTAAATCTCTAAATTGTCCAGGTGGGCCTTAAATTTTTGATCCGGCTGCCTTAGTGTCTCAGAGGACTGGGATTTTAGGTGGTGCTTCTTTTCCTCTTTTTATAAGAGTACTAATTATGCTGGGTATGATGGTGCACACCAGTGGTCTCTGAAGCGTGTCCTGAAAAGTGCTGAGAGCCCCTCAAGAAATGGAGAAGCAGCTGGGGGTGGCGAGGGCCCAGGTCCAAAGGATGCAGAAGCAGCCAGAAGGAACTTCTGTGGTGCAAGTCAACTACACTGTTTTTCTGTTTTCTTTTTAAAATTAAATTAAATGTTTTTGCAGTGCTGGGGATCAAACCCAGGGGCTGTCTACCACTGAGTTCCGGCAGCAGTTCTTTATTTATTTTGAGCTGGGTTCTCATTAAATTGCCAGGAGGGACGCCAATTTGCAATTCTCCCACCTTGGCCTCCTAAGGAGCTGGGATTATGGAAGAAAAAAAGGGTAAAAATATACATGATAAGCCAGGCCTGGTGGTGCATGCCTATATCCTGGCACTCAGGAGGCTGAAGCAAGAGGATCACAGCAAGTTCTAGCCAGCCTGGATCACATGATGAGTTCAAGGCCAATCTAGACTACACTACAACTCTGTCTAAAAAACAACAACAACAAAAACTCCCCAAAACCTATAGTATATGCTGGGTATGGCAGCACACACCAGTAATCTTAGCATGAGGGAGGAGGATAATCATGAGTTCAAGGCAAGCCTGGGTTCTTTCTCCAAAAGAAGACCCAGAAGATTTTGGTGGCGCAAGGCTATAATCACATTCATTCTGGAGGGTAAATCAGAAGGATCACTAATTTGAGGTCTATGGGGCAAGTTTGCGAGATAAGCCTCAAAATAAAATTTTAAAAGGGTGTGGGGGGGTTGGAACTCAGTGTGTAGTGCACTTCTATACCATGTACAAGATCCAGGGTCCAGCCTCAGCCCTAGAAGAGCAAGAAAACTAACAAAGAAGCCATCAAATGGGAGAGAAATTGTGCAAACTGTGTCTGATACAGGACTTGTATCTAGAATGTAAGAAAAATTCCTATAATACAATAATAAAAAGTGGCTGATTGAAAGTGGGCAAAACATCTGCACACTCTTCCAGATAAAGTATATAAATGGACGAGTGATTGAAAAGACATGCAATACCATTCGCTATCAGGTTTGGGTTCACATTTCCCTGGGCACCACTTCACGCCTCCCAGGATGACCACCCCAGAAAGTAGACAGATGAGGGGCCGGGGAGATAGCTCAGTGGCACAGTACCTGCCTGGCAAGTGTGAGGTCGTGAGTTAAATGGATCCCCGATAAGAGAGAGAGAGAAAAAGAAAGAGAGAGAAAGAGAGGAAAGTGCTGGCATGCCTGTGATGAGACTGGGACCCTCACACACTGCTGATGGCAACGTGGAATGATGCAGCTGCTTTGCAAATGTCTAACAGCTCTTCAAAAGATAAATGTAGCAAAGCATATGACACAGCAATTCCGCTATTAGATATGGGCCCCAGAGGAACGAAAGCCTATTTTCACACAACCATTTGCACATGAATGTTTACAGTAATGCAATTCAAGCTAACATCCATCAGCTACTTAATGGGTAAGTAAAATGTGGTTTATCCACATAACACAGCAGCACTGGTAAGAAAGTAACATTGTGTCGCATGGTGCAAAACACATGAACCTGGCGGGTGTGGTGGCTCACATCTGTAATCTCAACACTTGGGAGGCTGAAGCAGGAGGATTGTTTCAAATTTGAGGACGGTCTGGGCTATAAAGTGGGTTCATAACCAGCCTCAACTACACATTGAGACATTGTCTCAAACCAACCAACCAACCAAACAAGCAAACAAAAAACTGTCACAAAAAAGGCCAGGGCATAAGTGCCTGCCTTGCAAGTGTGAGGTTGTGGGTTCAATTCCCATACCAAAAAAAAAAAAAAAAAAGTAAGCTAGGTATGATGATGCATGCCTCTAATCCCAGTACTAGAGAGGCTGAGGCAGGAGAATTGCTACAAGTTTGAGGTCAGCCTAGGCAGCATAGCGAGTCTAGGCCAGCCTGTAATACAGTGAGACCCTGTCTCAAAAAACAAACAAAACTACGAAGGTGACCAGGCATGGTGGTACATACCTATAAACCCAGACTCTGGGAAACAGGTAGAAAAATCACACATTCCAGCACAACCTGAGAAATTTAGCAATTTAGCAAGACCCTGTTTCAAAATGAAAAATTTATAATGGCCTAGGGGTTTAGGTCAGACCATGGGTTCAAATCCCAGGACCACACACACAAAGCAAAGGCAAAACTAAGACAAATTAACCAGAGGGTAGGGTAGAGCCTAGCAAAGAAAAAAGCACTATCTTGTTTTCTGTTGCTATGCCCTTTAATCAGCTCACAGCCCGCCCCGCCCCCCTCTGCCCAGACCTCCCTGAGTCTCGTCTGGGTCCCTTTGCTAGGTCTCTCTAGGTTCCTGGGCCCTGCCTGCTCCTCCAACCCATGTTCCCCAGGGCGGCCACAGCTTTCCAGTTTCACTCTAAGAGCTCCATCTGAGAGCTCACCCTGACCTCCCGGCGCCCTGCAGTGAAGCCCGCACCCCTCATGACAGCCCGTAGGGTCCCGCAAGCTCCGCCATCCTCTTCACCCTCAGCCCTACTTTCAGTTCCTCCAACAGGCCACAGCCTTTGCATGGGTGTCCCTCTGCCTGGGACACTCTTGCCCAGTCAGTTGCGTGTACTTTCTCTGTCATGGCCTCCTACTGCAGACCTGCAGTAAACCAAGAGCCCTCAGAGCCCAGGCAGGGCCTGCCTGGTTCGTATTCGCCACCATCTCCCTGCCTTTTGCAGACTCCAAAACTTAATCTTTCTTGTCCCACGGACCTGGATTCTGACTTGGGCCGGCCACTTCCCAGCTGCGGAACTTCAAGCAACCCCTCCTTGGATGGGACCTTAACTTCAGCTTCCTCACCTCTGAAATGAAGGCTGTGATGCTATAGACAGCTAAGCTACGTAGAAATAGTACAGGCAGACAGACAGGGCTGGGCCTCGAAGGAGCCAGTGCAAAAGGTAAGATACTTTGCAACTGTGAGGGAGACCCAGACACATCACCTACTGCCAGATCTCAAAACCCAAGATGAAAGGATTGCACCCACATACTTCCCCTAAGAATAAACAACAGTGATTGATATTATAAATAGGTATCAGCCGGGAAGAGCCACTGACCCACCCCTTCCAGGAAAAGCCCCCCTTTCTGTTCCTTGGTGACTTACTTCTCCATTTGACCCCTATTTAGTCAATATTACCTGAGCAATGATGCTCATAATGTTATTGACCATAGTTTTGTTCGGCATCATGCCCACTATGTGATTTCTCATTTTTCCCTGCCTATCTCTATAAAAATCCTTAACTGGGGATCTAGCTTAGTGGTAGAGTACTTGCCTAACAAGTACAGGACTTTAGGTTCAATCCCAGCACCCTGGGGTGGAGAGGTAGAGAGAGAGGAGGGATTTTATTTTTGTCTTTTTTGATACCAGGGGTCGAACTCACCCAGGCGCTTATGCCATTGAGCTAAATCCCTGGCCCCAAGGGAGAGATTTTAAAAAGCCCTTAAAAAGGCAGGGTCCTTTGCAAGCCACTGGGGACCCCCTTCTGTCTCTTAGACTGAAACTCTCCAATAAATACATTGTTCCTAGAATTGATTCTTTGCATGCTGGGAGTTTCTTTCGCCTGTATTAGGAACACTCAGGGTCCCTATCCTCTGTGACCCCCTTTCATTTGGGCGTGATGCCAAACCTGAATTGTTCCCCACCTGGGAGGCTTGCAGGGAACCAAGGTGGGCACTGCCTACATTGCCACCATATCGGTTGAAATGGAGCCTGGTGGCACATGCCTGTAATCTCAGTGCTTAGGAGGCTGATCTTGCCTCAAAAAAAAAAAAAAAAAAATTTTTTTTTTTTTTTTTGGTATTACCAGGGACTGAAGAGCTATATAATACCTAACCCTTGCTGGTTTTTTTTTTTTTTTTTTTTTGGTACCAGGGATGGAATTCTCGACCTCAGCTTGCAAGGCAGGCGCTTATGCTGCTGAGCTAAATTCCCTAGCCCTCCTTTTTCTTTCTTTCTTTTTTTTTTTTTTTTTTTTTTTTGAGATAGTCTCATTAAGTTATCTGGGCTGGCCTCAAATTTCTGATCAATGGCTGGGATTACAATTGTGTACTAACAGACAAGGTCTATGTCCCACCCTATAAAATCACACTGAGGTCAATAAAACCCTACCTAGCCAAGCCAGTTTGACAGGGGTGGCACAGCCTCCAGAGTCAAGGAGAGCCAGCCAGGCCTCCTCTAGGTTCCAGCTCCGAAGTTCTGTGGGTGCTATCCCAGCTGTGACCAGCAGGGTGGGTCAGCAAAAACCAGTGGCACTGGCTACTAGGGCAAAGGCGGTCACATGAGCCCAGAGAGCCAAGGTGACTCAGCACATCTCAACTTCTCCCTCTTCTTTCCCCACTTTTCCCCTGGAAATGCTCATCAGTGTACTGGTTTTACTCATTTTGGAGGCCAAGTCTCCTTTCTTCACCATAAATCAAGACCTTCATGAGGAGCCTGGGGAGGAGGACATTGAAGAAGTGTCCCTCCAAGGGAGGCTAGGCTGAGACAGCAGAGCCCTGGGGGGATGGGGTGGCCTCCACCCTTTTTTGGGGTGCACAGATAGCTACTATCTCAGTCACAGGGCTAACAGGGGTGGGCCCCCGTATCTGCACACCCCAAACCAGCTGTGAGCTGGTGAACTGTGGATTTAGGGGGCAGGGTGCACTGGGGGATGCTGCGCCCTCTCTGGCATACGTCTGAATTTTCAGCCTTGGGGACTTTTCCAGACGTAGGGTTCCCAGGTCTTCACTCAGCGTCCCTGTAATTCTTTGTTCTCTGCTCACAACAGCCTACCTTTAAATGTTTCAGTTTCCAATTCCGTGTCTAAGACCAGAACCTCCAGACATTTTTGATGTTTAAGAGTGTGAATTGGGTTCAAATCCCAGCAGCCTCTTACCAGGTGTGTAAGTCACTCTTTGGGTCTGTTTCATTCTTTCTCTTTTTTTTCTTTTACTTTTTTTTTTTGAGACAGAGTCAAGACCAAGGTACTTGCTATGTAGCTCAGACTGGTCCTGAGCTCACTATGTAGCCCAAGCTAGTCTCCAACTCACAGTAACACTTCTCCTCAGTCTCCAGAGTGTTGGGATATTACAGGCACATACCAGCACATCCGGCTTAGGGCCTCTGTCTTCTCTTCTATCAAGTGAGGCAATGTTATTTCCAGTTCTAAGTGAGGGCTGCTATGATTTAACCACGTGGCTTGCTGCACCGCGGGGCAGCAAGCTGATGCTGGCTCAATGAACCCACTACCCCACCAGCACCACAATGACAACCACGGCCACACCAAAAGCATTTCATAAGAGCCCTAGGTTTACATCTAACCGTGGCTCTGCAGTCACCCAGGCCAATTCCTATGCCTTGCACTTGCATAAAACTGAATCTCGTAGTTTCCCCATTTGTGCCCCGAGGTCACCGGCTTGGCTCCCCAAATCTTCACACACCTGAGCTGGGCACTAGTGGCCCCTCAGCCCGGCCCTTAGTCCCATGAAACCCCTTCCTAATGCTGTGCCCGTGTGCCCCATGATATCCCCCACCGGCCCCGGCTCATGCCTGCTTGCACCGCCTGCGCCAGGGTGGTGAGCCCGGTCCTGCCAGTGGCGCCGAAGATCGCGATCTTCTTGACAGCCATGCTGTGGGGTCCTGGTTTTGCGACGCACGAGACACAGGACTCGCGGGAACCCAATGGCTGCTGGGTGGTGCTCTCCCCCTTTCTCTAGACAGAGGGATGGGGCGGAGCAGCTCAGAAGGTTCCGCCTGCGCCCCGCCCCCTGATCAGGCCGAAAAATCCTAGGTCTCCCGCCTAAAAGAACCAGAATGGGGCGAACGAGAATGGCAAGCGTCTGTTTGCAATCCTTATCGCCCAACACTTCCGTCTCGGACCTACTGGGAGCCAATCCCAAATTTAGGACGGGCTCTAGTGGGCGGGGTCACAGGAGCTTGTCCCTCAGTGCCCCGCCTTCGCTCTCCAGCCACTCGGGGCGGGGAGGGGCGGGTCTGGTCTGAAAGCCACGCCCATCACGCTCTTTTAGGTTTTGCCAGCTCCCGGTGTGCCTCTTAGCCAACCCCGGTACTCACTACCGCCCAGGTGCTCCTCTAACAGCAATGGGATTGTGAAGGAGAACCGGGTGTGTGCGTGTGTGTGGTGTGACACCATGTAACTGCGTGTCTAGGGACCTGTGTGATCCTCGTGACCCTAGGTACCCACAAGGGAGCGCACGACTATGGTGACCTCTATGCTATCCTTTGTGTTACAGTGCGACTGTGCGTGACCCCACATGTGGCCGGCACTGATGCTGTTCTCCTGTGACTTTATAGTGGCACTGTGGATGCCAGTGTGTGTCAGCCCATGTGACACAGCGTGAGTGTGGAACACAAGCCATAGTAAGGTGTGTGACTACTAGACAGTGATAGCGTGTGAGACTTCGTGTCCCTAGTCTCAGCTGAGTGTGTGACTGTGATACTCTTTATGACTTGCCGTGACTGTGCCGTATGTGTGTAGCAGTGCAGGAAGTGTCACCCTGTGTGACTGGTGTGACAAAAGTGAGTGTGTAAAATTGCTTGACACCGATTGTGAAACTGTGCATGACTGTATGACTCTCTGGGGGTGTGCTGCTGTGTGACATGCATGGTTGTGTGTGACAGCATCTTGGTGGTGGCCTCATTTTGAGCGTGTCGTTGTGTGTGGCGCCGTGGGACTCTTGCTCCAGTGTGGGGCGCCGTGTGTGTGACTGCGTATGACAGCCTGTCGGTTGACCCCGTGCGACCCTATACGAGGGAGTGACACTGTGCGTGGACGTGGAGAGCGCGTTCGTGACGTTGCGAGTGGTCCCGCGTCGGGGGGGCGTTTGTGAGCTCGTGGGAGGGCGTGACGGTGCCTCACCCGCGTGGCCCGGCGTGTGACGCGCGGGGACCCGCCCTCGGGCATTGGGGGCGGCGGACCGTGGGCGGAAAGGGGTCCCGGGGGCGCGCCGAGCGCGGCGGCGCGAGCGGGGGGAGGCGCGGCGGCGGCGGCGGCGGCGGCGCATGCGGACCTGGCCGAGCGGCGGCTGGCGGGGCCGAGCGGATCCGGACCGGGCCGAGCCGCGGACGCCGGCAGGGAGGGCTGTCGGGCGCGGCGAGCAGCAAGGACGGCAGCAGCGGCGGCTGCGGGCCCAGGTGAGCGGCGGGGCGGCCCAGGCCCCTCCCCCAGGTCTCCCCAGTGCGGAGCATCCTCCCTCGCGACCGGCACGGCCTGAGCCCCTCGCTCTCACTAGCTGGATGGAGGCAGGAGGTCGCGGCAGAAAGAGCCCAACTCCCTGGGCAGTCCAGCTTTGCACCCTGTGGGGGTCCCCCGCAGGCCTTGTCCTTCCCAGGCCCCCTCCTCCGCGCGGAGACTGCACCGGAGGGACAGAGGCCCGGCGTGGGCAGGGTTATCGCATGGACTGCCACCCGCACCCAGCACAGGGCCAGACTGTTCCGGGCCGCGGGACGCCCCTGCCCACCTCCCCATCACCTTCCAGCTTCGCCTCTCTTGTTTCTCCATTCTGTATTGCCAGAGCTGTACCCTGCCCTGTCAGAGCTCGCCAAATGCTAAGCGCCTCTTTATCCCCAAGTACTCTTCACTGAGGAAACAGTTGTGACACCTTTAACAGGGAAGGAACTGAGGCACAGAGAGGCCGAGATAAAGATTCCAGTGTAAAGATACAGCAAGAATAAAGCCGGAGTTGAACGCATCTCTGTTTGGCTCCAGAACAGGCGCTTGGATTAACTAAACTATGTGACCAGAGGATGAAGGCAACAGTGGTGGGGGCACAGTTTGGGCACAGAGCTCTAGCAGGTCCTGGGTTTGATCTCAAGCCCCAACAGAAGGGGAAAAACTGACAATGGCAAGAAGCATGTACTGGTCTTACCCTGTGCAGGATACCATGTTCCCCGTATTTTAATTCATCTTCAAATAGCCCTAGGATTTTTGTGGATGAACAAATTAAGGCCCAGAAAGGCAAAATGACATGGCCAAGGTCATGGCAGTGGGGCAACTGTTCACCCAGTTTCAGCTTTCCATGAGAAAACAGAGTCACACTGGAGTTTGGTGCATCCGCCCAAAGGGACACTGTCCACTATACTGACCGCATCCCAGGCCAGCCTGTCTTCCTAAAACATCCATCTGGGTCTTTGACGGAAGGGGGTCATTTAATTAAGTAATTCCTTTCCTAGTCTTAGAATCAGGACTGCAGGCCAGCCGGGTATAGATGTATCCAATGTCAGCCCCACTTGGATTTCACATCTACAATCTAATAGTGTCCTAGAGCAGAACTCAGGAATAATGCTGCGTAACAAATCACCCCAAACTCTGTCTCAAATGAAGGATTTATTTAGCCATCAAGCCTGAGTTCAGTGATTTAGGCTGGACCTGGCTGGACAATTTTTCTGATCTCTGCTGGGTATACTCTCATCTTAGGGTCACAGTGGGGGACTCTATCTGACTTTGGCTGTGATGCTCTGGGCCTTAGATCTGGGGTAGCCCACATGTATTTTCCAGTAGCTACCATGGAGCATAGGCAGAAACATGCTCCATCTCTTTAGTCCAAAGCCCAGAACTGGCTGGCATCCATCACTTCCTCCCAATTATCACAGACAGACCTTTTCTTCTCTAGCAATCAGAGGACCCTGAAGAATTATATGGCAAAGGTTGTAAATATAAGGATGATGAATTTGGGGTTAATACCATCATTTTTATCACAGTGCTTACATTTGAATCCTAACTATTTATTAGTTGTAAAATTTGGGCAAGTGAAAAAAAAAACTTTGTGCCTCAGTTTCCTCCTCTGTAAAATGGGCCTCAGAAAAACTGATTGCTGGGTAATTAAATTTGTAAGTATCAAATAAGAGAATGGATATAAACATTAAACAAAGAACAAATGGACAATATTGTTCACTACTGTTATTATGGCTACCTTATGGAGTTCTAGAGATCTAATGTTATTGTTTTACTAATAACAGTGACAAACTGCTGAGCCTTTACCCTGTACCAGCTGCTAAGTCAAGGGCTTTACCCTTGTAAAGTTAGGCCTGTGGATGTATAGTTAAGGGGTGAACATTTAAAAATATTTTTTGGTGAGTACTGAGGATTGAATGGTGGACCTCACTCATGCTAGGCAAGTGTTCTACTACTGAGTTACACTGCCAGTCTTTTTAAAATTTTAAGACAGTCTTACTAAGTTGCCAAGGCTGGGTTCCAAGTTGTGACCCTCCTGACTCCTAAATAGCTGGGGTTGCCAGTGTGTACAACCATGCCCTGCTATTATCGTAATTATGTCCACTTGAAGGACAGAAGAGCTGAGGGTGAGAGAGGGCACAGGACTTACAGCCAGGTAGTGACTGCTAGGAGTTAGTGCTTAGAGCTCCGCCCAGGTTTCCAGGCCTAACCTGTCTTTGCTCATCCCCAGGCCTCACCTTCCCAATGGCGCAGGTTCCGGGGGAAGTGGACAACGTGGAGGGGCTGCCTGCCCCCAACAACAACAACCTTGTGGCCCGCTGGGACAGCCCCGACCGGGGCTGGGAGCGGGAGCCACCAGCTGCCTCCACCGCAGCAGCTTCGCTCTTTGAGTGCTCCCGGATCAAGGCCTTGGCAGGTACTGGGTGAGCAGCGCAGGTGGGAGGGGCTGCCCACTGGCTTCTGTGCTTCTTGGTGCCTTGGCCTTTGTGAGTGGGAGCGGGAAGAGCCTTCCGGGCATTTAGCACTTAAATCTTCAGACAGCTCGGTGCAGTATCCCATGAATCTGGAAGTGTTGTATAGTCGTGATCTTTGCTACATGTGGCTACCTAAAATGTGGCCAGCAGTACTCAAGGGATCGAGGGACTCTATTACATTTTACTTAGTTAATTTACCTATTTAGGTTTTTTAAGACAGGGTGTCACTATGTAGTTCAGGCTGTCCTTGAGTTCACCATGTAGCCCAGGCTAGTCTCCAACTTGCAGTGATCCTCCTGCCTCAGCCACCCCAGGGCTGGGATTACAGGCATATACTGCCAAACCTGACAAATTTTATTTATTTTACTAAATTTAAATTTAAATAACCACGTGGATTTGCTCTATAAGGTAGCATAGCTTTAGAGCTTTCAAAATGCACAATCCCAGAAACATGGGACTTTATGAGCATACACTACTCCAATAGTATCCCGCTGTGCAGAATACTTGGGCTGTAGGACTGCGGAGTGTTATAAATGTCAGCGATTTAAGCCTTTAGCCATGGAGACTTTTGGAAATACAGAACTTACAGTCAGTGACCTTAGACATTTTAGTCATTACCCCCAAGTGTCTTAAAGCCTTGGAAACTGAAACTCTAATGTACATAGATCCTTAGGACCATTTATTTATTTATCTGTTTATTTATTGAGTACGGCAATCAAATTCACACAGGCAGGTGCTGAACTATCTCCTTGGCCCCTTAAATTTTTTTTTTAAATCGGTACCGGGAATCGAACTCACAACCATGTGCTTGCAAGGCAGGGGCTTATGCCGTTGAATTATATCCCCAGCCCCTGGCCCCTTAAGTTTTAAAAGACTTTATAATGTAAACCTTGTTAAGACTGAAAACAGTCTGGGGATATAGCTCAGTGGTACAGTGGTTGCCTAGCATATTTGAGGCTCTGGGTTCAATCTGCAGCACCAAAACCTTAACAAAAGAAAAAAAAGATTGGAAACAGGACGCTGGGAACATGGATGTAGAGGGATCAAATTCTCATGGTTTTACCACTGAAAATCTTAATCTCAGGCCAGCTGGGAGGGTCCATCACTTACTTTGGTGTTTCAGAAACAATATCAACAAAACTAGAAAACTTAAAAAAAAAAAAAAAAAAGAGGACTT